ATGCTGTGTAGAGTCTCCTAGTCATAGAATAGACGATACTTATGTAGCCGAACCCTTATATTTTTTCACTAATTTAAACCTTGCCGTTATTTTCAATGCTTACGCAGTTGCGGAGTCTGTGGTAAACGCAACGTCTTCTCGTTGTTCGCGAGCATTTGTCGATTTCTTTCATTAAGCAGACGCTTAATCTCGCTATCATGGACAAGGCGAAAATGAGTGAAAGTGCAAAGACAGAGCTTTGTCGCAAGTAGGTTTCTCACGCTTGCTTCAAAGAGTTTAGCTTTTTTGCTTTTAGATACTTCATCATTGGTTTGTTTTGCCTTCCGCTTGTGTGGCTCACAAATCTGATTTGGTTTTTTGGCGATGCCTTCTGTCGACCGAGCTCTTCTGCTAATCCTACCATTCGCAAATACGTCATTGCAAGCGCTGTTGGTGTCTTGTTCTGGGCAATTGTTATATTCACTTGGGAATTTGTTTTCCAGGTCAGTTTCCTAACTTTGCTTTAGCTGCAGTGCTTGTTTGGGCTAGATGGGGGAATAATATGGTGCCTTGGTTCTATTTTTAATTTACAGTCTTATCGAAGTCAAGGTTTGGCCTGGGCGGACTACCTCACCTTCATATTTCCAGTTGGACGTGTTTGATCATGTTAAGATGATCTTATGTGCTTTTCCTCCTTGGTCTGCTTATCGCCAGACATCTATTTTTCGTACTATCACCTCTGTGACCTGAAGTTATTATCGTATCATTTTTTCTTTTTTCAGCATATGTACATATTATAAAAGAATTCTCAAAGCGAGAAAAGGTGACTGACTTCTTATTAGAACGGGTTTATGCACATCAAAGATATTGTCTAAGATTTATGTGTGTTTCAATTGAAATAAAATGTTAGAATTGCAATTCATCTGATTAATCTATACCTGTTCATTCTTGCAATATACCTAAGATTTCATTTTTCCGTAAATATGTTCGCTTTCTCATAGCTATTACGCGGCCAAAAATATGTTTCATGAGATGGTTGGCTAGTTGCTGCTGCTCTTGGAGGTACCCTAAAATCTTACAGATAAGTCCGCTTTTTTGTCAA